GACCTGGACCGCAGAGGATCGGTGAGGCAGCGCCCCGTCACGTCCGCTGACCGCCAGCCATGACGACGAAGTCGACCGTGCCGTTCAGATTACCAACCGAGGCACCGGTGCCTAGCGCGTGTGGGACAGGATAAAGAAAAAATGTAGGTCCGCGTATTTCATCTATACGGCGTACTACAACACCGACACGTGACTCAGTCGAAAAATATGACGCCTCCGATGAACAAGGCATGTCCCTATACTTCCCTCGTCATACAGCATTCTCGCGACGTCCACGCTGTCGTGACACTTTTAATCAACCGCTAGCTCGAGCAATTCGTCTAGCGTTTCCGTGAAACTAATCACGCGACAAGGTGACCAGCAATTATCCATGGTCGATCAGCGTGTATAGGATCCGCGCACTTAGTTGGGGCTCCACCGCTCTCAGAGTGCGCAGCGTTAATGTAGTAACTTCGCGCAATTTGTTGCTGTTTCCTTCCCGGCGAGTATGCATTTATGTATGCGGAGAAAGCCGGTGCCTGACAATGGTTACACAAAATGAACCCCGCTTGCGATTTTGCGACTACGGACAAACAGCAAACGTTCAGACGTACTTTAGGCGAAGTAGTTTGCTTCATAGTGTTGACTTGTACGATACTAATTGTGCTTATGGCGGGGAAGAACTCTTAAGTACCGTCTGTCTGACGGAAATCCTCCAAAAATGTGTCGCATAAATAAGGGTACAGTACTACATGCCCTTGGACGTCTGTAGACCTTTTTTTCTGGCAGGCATTACAAAACATACTTTTTATCTTCAGCTTGGTGCGTCACTGGTTCTACGATTGTAGTAGATTAGCAGAAATGTGCAATAGTTAAAACGAGATATATTATAGCATCTATGAAAGGACAGATAATGCATGAAGTGCCTGTCTCTTTGTTTTCTAGCTCTGCTGTTACGTCAAAAAAGAGCATTAGCTATAGTATTCGGTGGCTGATATTTTTTGAAACTCCTCAGAATTTAATTTTTTTTACACTTAGCAATTCTAGGCGTTCCCACTTCAGCAGGCTCATGGCGTTCTGTGGATTCCCTGAAAGCACTTACGTCTGTGCAGGCGTGAACTAACTGTGTACGTTTATTCTGCTGGTTATTGGCGCACGAAAAAAGGGAAGAAAGGAACGAACACAAAGGAAAGGCAGAGATATTAACCAGCTCGCAAGAAAAATTGTAGAAGCTTACTGCACCTGTAAGGCTTGATTTAATGGCTGCTGCAAGAATGACGCTGCGCTAGCGCTATAAATCAACAACCACACACGCACGTCATCTGCTGACCTGCCGTGTTCTTAGCAGAAGCCACTGACGAGGTCCATCAGTCAACCGTGAGCGTCTGTTTACACTCAACGCTCTCCCCTTTTTTCAAGTTGTGGGAGATTCCATGCAGATAAGGCACTACGGCCAGCTTCTGACGTCTTGCTGGCTCAACATGAGGGAGAGCTTGTTGCAAGGACTGAAGCTTCTTGACCAGAATTCCCGCGACGGAAACCTGTACGTGAGAGGGGTAGCCAGCGTCCAGCAGTCGATCTGCTTGTTTCTTGAAACTCGCTGCCATCAGATGTAAACAAGATTTCTGCAAGGCGTTACTAAAGCACATATTTACAATGCCTCGTTTTACGCTTAGTATGGGCGGAATGGTACGGAAGCAAGGGTTTGTTACTCCTCGGTTTGTACATCCAACAAATGTGGTCTAAGTGAAAAATGAGAGTGATATCTAAAAATCTGAGAGTGTTATTAACAGGTAACTCATGGGTTAAAACAAGGGGACTAAACTGCTCTTTGATGAAGTTGAGGATATCTAGGGCACAAAAAATGGGGTCGCAGTCAAGAAGAATAAAAAAGTTGTCAACAAATCTAAAGATGCGCAAGATTCGGTTGTCACTAAGGTCATCGGAAACGGTTCTGTCGAGCTTGGCTAAAAACAAATTACTTAAGATTGGAGCAATACATGATCCTATACAAATATCCTCCTTTTGAAGGTGGGGCTTGCCATTCCATTGAATAAAAGTAGATTGTAAATAAAAGGATAAAAGTTCTAGAAAGCTACTAGGCGATATACCAGCACTATTCTGAAATGCTATGCTACCAAGGCTTGTCAATTCTCTCTTCTACACAACTAAGAATCGATTTGTGAGGCAACGAATAGTACAGATACACCAATGGAAAAACCACACATGTGCTGATTCGAATGGGATTGGATGAAACCAAGAACTTGATGGGAATTTTTCACGAGGAATGGGTCATCAACTGTTAATAGACCAAGCTTACTTTGTAAAAACAACGCAAAATTTTTTTGCCACGTGCCATTTTCTGAAACGATAACACGGAATGGTTTTTCAGGCTTATGTGTTTTCGCACTGAAGAATACCTAAGGACAATCTTTTTTGCTATTTGCTATGTCACTAACAAGTTTACTGAGGTCGAGCTTTTCACACATCTTTTTTGCCTGAGACTTGACTTTAGAAATAACAACATTGTCGTAACAGTTAAAAACTGTTACGACAATGCGTTACGACAGCGCTCCCTTCTGTCCCTTCCCGGTCCTATGTTTTAAAATGCGCTACGTCGATTGAGTATGTCTTACCAATATGCCCAACTTTATACTATACTTTTGTTTATTATTTTTACAGCGATATATTTTACATCTTAACAAGGGCCACGTACGCCGAAGTTCTCCGCCACCGCCGGTGTCCGTAATCACTATAGCGCAAAGCGATAAAAAGAGTAAGTGAATAAAAAAAACCAAGCACACAGTGGGATTTAATCTCGGGTCCTATTAGCGCCAGCCCAGTATTCTACCACGGTACCTGAAGCTCCGTGGCAAACTTACCCTAGGCAGGCTTCTTAGTCATGAAAGAAATCGCATTATAGTGTGTAACAAAGCGTTTAAAACAGCAAAGGAACAGCCAGACGTCGCACAATGCGAATTGCGTAACATGTGGGTCTTCGAATGATACAACCTCATTACAGAAGCTCTAGTCATAATTCTTCATCGTCGTCAGCCACAACATCAAAAAATTGCACAAAATTTCTTGCCAGTGTGTAGCGGGTACCACGCTTCACCGAAGAAATGAAGGATGGTATAGTGAACGCCCGCACCAAAATTATGATGATTCATGACTTAGTGGGTACCCTGTGAGTGTGCTTGTAGCAGTTACCCATATAGTGTTTTGCCTCCACCGAAATACGACCACCGTGGGTTCGATCCCGGCCGCGGCAGTCGCATTTCAGTGGAGGCAAAATGGTTGAGGCCCATGTACTGTGCGATGTAAGCGCACGTTAAAGAACACTAGATGGTCAAAATTTCCGGAGGCATTTGCTATGGCGTTTCTCATAGTCATATCCTGGTTTTGGATTGTAAACACCACATAATATTATTATTATTATTATTATTATTATTATTAGTAGTAGTAGTAGTAGTAGTAGTAGTAGTAGTAATCGTAGAGACTTCGGTGCACTGGTGATGAATTGTTTTTAACGTGGTTGCTATTCATAATCTATAGGACTAATTATACCCATGCGCGTGTTTTTTGAGGCAACGTTCTTTCATTATATACACAACACAGGCATAGCAACGAACGTGAAACTTAATATGCCAAAATAATCATACTTAGAGAAATATGAAAAAAAATAGAAAGGACACACTATCCGCATGCGATAGTAATGGCAAATCCGCTGTTGGGTATGGGGAGTAACACTATTCCTTTATGATAGGCGTCATTGTAGCAGCTTTCTTGCCCCTGAGGAAATGTCTCAACACTGGACTCCTATACATATCATCATAGAAGTGCACAACGGTAACTCTACTTTGATTCTTGGAAGTTAATTGAATGGTTTGAAGAAAGCCGTGTCGGGTTCTTCAGTAAATGGCGCACCCGTCAAGGACCATCCCACCATTTCGATTTCTTTTTTTTTTCCTTCTGGAAACCGGTTGTAACAGGAACCTGTGCTGTCCCGGCGGTTACTTTGTAGGCAGCGTTCCCTTTAGCGAGAACAAGGGCAAAGAAAAACTTGATTGTAGAACCCGCCACATTCCTTTTTTCTCTCTCTCTCTTCGGTGTAGAATAAACTAAACATTTACAAGCTACTATCATGGTAAAGAAGAGTAACAGACTCGTGGAACCAATGTATCGGATGGGGTGAACATTGTCATTGTCTACGCCTAACCTATTATCTACGCGTAGACACGTGTATATTTGCGCCTAATCTATTATCTACGCGTAGACAAATAGGCGTATATGCCTATTTGTCTACGCCTTCGCGAATACATGTGTTTGAATTCGTCACCCTCTTGCGCAGGTAGAACGTCTACTGCAAACTTAAGAGAGCATGTTGGCTATCGTGCACATGGCTGCAGCCTTTTTACAAAGGGAAGTTTAGCGTACGCGGACTTCCATTGATTCCAGCACCAAAAAAATTTGAGCACCCACACACCCGCATAGAGTGGGGGTGACGATGGAGTCTGGTGATATGGCTATAAGACATAATCATAGGCGTGTGCAGAGCTCCCCATCAGGAATGCGAAAGCGCATTGAAGCCTCCCTTCCCCCTCATACACACACACACGCTCACCCGCCACCCTCACCACCGGTGCACAACGACTATGGTCATTATAGGTACGGTGGTTTTAGGTGCCGAAACGCCATTACGATGAGGCACGCTATTGCGGATGATAGAGGAAATTTCGAACACATGGGGCTCTTCAACGTCTACCCGAATTTATGCACATGGGCATTCTATTACTACGCCTCCAGCAGGGTTTTAAGAAGGACGTTTCAGAGCTGTATACCGAGGTACATGTGTATTTATAAAACTTGAAACATCTACACTGAAATCCCAAATCATGATTAGAAGCATAGCATAAGAATCGTTCCAAACCATGATATTACTATGAAGGACGCTGTAGTGGGGAACTGAGAAGATTTCGACCACTTGAGGTTTTTTAATGTGTGCACCTAAATCTACATACATGGGTCTCCAGCATTCCGACTTTATCGAAGTGCAGGTGCCGCGGCCAGGATACGATCCCGCGACGTTCGAGAAGGGAATCAGGAGCTGTGGTGGAGAGAGGGTGAGCGCCTTCTGAATATACACTGCCTTTCACTGGAACTCATCCTTATTGTCCTAGCCACTGCCACAATGATCCCACTCGACAGAGGCAGGAGTGGTCTTATTGCTGCTTAAAGAGACACTAAAGAATAAAATAATCACGGCGCACCAGTGTCATCGTCTGGCGTACATCCCCACTGCGTCGCCACGGGCACTGTTTATATTAACGATATTGGCAACAGTCAGTGATCTTACCAGAACTAATAACATAGTAGTGGTACAGTCTGTACCTGTACCGATGCCACCTAAGAATACAGGTAGACGGTATAAATGGTAACACCACATTGTAACGCTGCAGTATGGACGGGCACCACTATGCGCTTTCTAATGCAATACTTCGGCATCGTTTCTCGAAAGCGGTGACATTGTTCCGAAAAATTCCGGTTATTTAAATTAAAAAATAAAACGCTCCAAAAAGGCACAAATCAACGTTTTTCGACGTATTTCTGTTTTCCCCTTCAACCTCTGTCCTGCATCATTGACATTACTCTCACTCTCCCTCCCAAGCATTTAAATCAGGAACAATTACGAAACCATACTCATCCGATCTTCATGACACTACTCTTTTGTTATTTTAGGACTGGTGCCCTCGCCATAATTTCAGGAGATTATTAGAAAGTGAGTGGCATTAAGATATGCTTGTAGAGTGCGTTTTAATGTATCTTTTCATTTAATCAATTCATAGGGAGCCCATCCGATGTACTGAATTTGAGGGACTTTACTCGTGAGCAGGATGCGAACATTTCGTATACATCTGTGAATGAAACAACTTACAAGGTATCTTTGTAAGCCAAATAATGGATCCATAACAAGCTTTTGAACGTATAGTTTGTACTTAAGCTTTATACGTATATGATTAGGCCTTAAACAGACGTTATTGCAATTGTCTTTTTTTTTTCAAATATTGTTAATATTGGATCTAAAAGAAGAATGTACGCGAGGCTCGTTATTCTTGCAGGTAACACCCACGTAGAGTATACACATTCAAGCGGCGTCTCAGCAAACGAATTTATCGTGATCATGAATACCTACAAACTGTAATTATAGTACAAACTATAATTCGTTGGCGAGAAAGGGAAACAATTATTAACCCCAAAGATAGCGAAATGTTAACCTTGATTGACAGTGCTAGAAACACCATTCTCCCCCCCCCCCCATTTGTATGCAGAAGCCGTTAATGATGCCTTTTCCAGAAATTTCTCAGCAACTACAGACGCCCCTGTTCCGACCAACCCCCATTGTGACTACCCACCCATGCCTCCTATTATTATTGACTACGTTGGTGTTGAAAGTGTAATCAAGTCCTTAAAGCCTTCCTCGTCTCCTGGGTGTGATACGATCAGTCCTAAATTTTTGAAAAACACCAGCTCTTATTGTTCAGTCATACCAGAGTCCCTGAAAAGCATTGAAGGACTCTGGTCATACTAACGAAGATATTCGAACAATCGCTTCATGAAGGCTGTCTCCCCGTCGACTTTAAGATTGGAAAGATAACTGCACTGTTTAAAACTGGTAACAAACATTCACCGTCTAACTACCGGCCTATCTCGCTAACCAGCATACCTTGTAAAATACTAGAACACGTATTATATTCCAAACTGGCAGGTTCTCTCGAATCTAACTCGTTTTTTTTTTTTTGCAAGTGTCAACACGGTTTCAGAAAAAAACTATTCATGCGAGACTCAACTTGCATCTTTTACCCATGGAATAAACATCATTCTTGATCATTCATCTATCGCTGATTGCATTTTGTTAGACTCTTTCAAAGCTTTCGATAAAGTATGTCACAAGTTGTTACTTCACAAACTACAAAATCTTAATCTTGATCCGAAACTTTTATTTTGGCTTGAATGTTTCCTTTCTAACCGCGCTCAGTTTGTTTTAGCTAACGATAACGTCTCTATAAAACTTCTAGGCGCGTAAAACTTCAGACAACTAACATAAGAGACAAGGACGAGCGCAGACTTTCAACTGATTTTATTACTACTACGACACACATATATATATTAGAAAGAAGATAAGCAACACACAAAATCAAAAGGCGAAAAGAGAGATTGCAAAAACATCACGTGCTCACCCTGGGCCCTCACGTGCCGAATTTAAAAACGTCAATTCTTTCCCAGATAATGCTATCGATGGTTTGCTGACGTTTTTAAATTCGGCACGTGAGGGCCCAGGGTGAGCACGTGATGTTTTTGCAATCTCTCTTTTCGCCTTTTGATTTTGTGTGTTGCTTATCTTCTTTCTAATATATATATGTGTGTCGTAGTAGTAATAAAATCAGTTGAAAGTCTGCGCTCGTCCTTGTCTCTTATGTTAGTTGTCTGAAGTTTTACGCGCCTAGAAGTTTTATATGGATTACCAACTAGCCCAATCCCACACTTTACTTAAGATAACGTCTCACCCCGAATGGAGTCCCTCAAGGATCTGTCCTGGCTCCCCTGCTCTTTCTTATTTACATTAACGACTCACCTTTATCTGTTACTTCTCACATTCACTTGTTTGCCGATGACTGCGTCCTCTTTCGTGAAATATCTAATGACAATGACCTATTAACCCTTCAATCCGATCTTGACGCTATTTCTGTGTGGTGTAAAACATGGGTAATGGAATTTAACACTAGCAAATGCAAGTTCCTTCGCGTATCTATAATTAACCGTATATTGCCTACTTACTATCTGAACGATGCTACACTGGAATCTGTCAGCACTTACAAATATCTCGGAATACATATTACTACCGACCTCACTTGGTCCGTGCATACCACGTACGTAATTAATAACGCTAATCGCATGCTCGGCTACATACGTCGAAATTTCTCACAGGCTCCTTCAACACTAAAACTAACTCTCTACAAGTCGCTTATCCGCTCCGAACTGGAGTATGCTGCATCAGTTTGGGATCCTAACCAAGAAAATCCAATACACTCACTTGAAATGGTTCAAAATAACTCTGTTCCTTTTATACTCTCTAACTACAACCGCACTGCCAGCATAAGCACTATGAAATCCAGCCTCGGATTACCCTCCTTATCATCTCGTAGGAAAATCCTTCGCCTTTGTCTTTTCCATAAGCTTTTCTATCACAGCCAGCTATGAAACGAACTCATTCTGCCTCCTCGGTACATTTCAGCTCGCATAAATCATGTCCATAAAGTCGGCTTGCCGTCCTGCAGAACTAACTTCTTTTCCCAGTCATTCATACCGCGTACATCACAAGAATGGAACCACCTACCCGCACTGACGGCAACAATCTCGGACCACCAACATTTTAAAACTGCTTTAGCTAACATTGTATAACGTGTAACACTGAAGTACATTGCATTTTCCTCGTTTTGCTGTGTTTATACCTTTTTTTTTCTCTGTTTTATATTATGTTTGTAACTATTGTATCCCACTCCCCTCTCTAATGCCTCTGGCCCTGAGGGTACCTAACTAAATAAATAAATAAATAAATAAATAAATAAATGAAAACACAGAGCGTAGAAGCGGTGATAACAAAGCAAAAAAAAAGCACACGATAGAGCACAGCCCTTGACATTTAACGCGTATATTTGCAGAAAGGCGCCACAAAAAACAAGAACATACACTTATGGATGGATGAACGTCCCACGTGTGCTTGTGCTGACGAGCGCGGTAGCCGGCGTTTCACTTCGTTTTTTGTGGGGCCAACGACGCATGGTGAAAGCGGTAAAGCGCGCTGCTCGCGAAGATCAGCGGGAACTGTGGCATGACGAATGCTCGTAATCGATTTGTTTTTTGCTTCTTTCTTATGCATGCCATTGCGCCATTCGCGGAAAAAGAAGCTTAACTGTCACGCTCAATGTAAACACCTGCATCACAGACGGCCTTCAGCCCATGGTGAGCAACACAGGAAGCGACATAAAACAATGGAGAATCCTTAAGCTACGCTTTTAAGACTTGAATGCGAGAACGATATCCGTACGCACGCACACACACACACGTGTGCGTGAGTTCTTGCACTCGTACGTACACACTGTTGCCATCCCAATCACTAGCGTGCCTTTAGTGCTCCTCAGTGGAGACCTGCACTGTGTCGCAAAAAAAAAAAAGGCCAAATCGCTAACACCCTCTGGTTCATATCTCTATTGTATCGCAAAATGAAGCGTAAGCTTTGGTCGTATATCATTGCAAACTAGAGGAAAATTATAACCATTAATTTTTTTTCTAGGAGCTGCTTCGTCAACCAAGTACTTTTTGTAAGCACACACATTTATTGCCAAGAAGGTCTTTCCGCGTATCAATCACAAATTTAAGGTTGAACAACCTTTCACAAGCATTCAAGTTTTGATGCCTACATTTAGCCATTTCAGGATAGTATCATGTTTTCTGTAATACAGCTGAATTACCTCACCATGTTGTATTCAAGGTCGATCTTAATGACGCGGTCAAAAAATAGAAACTTCAAGCACTGATTACTTTTTTGCACTATAAAAATTCAGTGATAGTTCAATCCTTGCTATATTCTTCATTGTAACCATTGTTATGACGTCTGAACATAGATGTGAGTTTATGGAAGTTCAATATTACAATAAGAATTATAAAAACCCTCTCGACCAGTTTTTGCTATCATCATCGTGTTTTGTATTACGTACGAATCAATAGTTACGCCCCGTGAATCCCATGTTCTACGTGCGAGTAAAAGTGTGTAAGCCAAGCCGACGAACGCGGCTGAAGCAGAAATGAAACAAACTGGCCAATCCTGTCGTAGGTATAGCACATGCGATAACATTTGCCACGTGATAGACCTGCCGTCGACTAGTCCTCAAGCAGAGAGGAAACTCCCTGTCCGCCTTTCTAAGAGTGAAGGTGCATGGACGACGGGAGAGGTGAGGAGGGCTGCGTCTCTGAGCAGCAAGTGTGAACTCTGATATTATGGGCGTGGTCGCGAGAGCAAGCGCTAGCGCTATCTCGGCAGTCGTCTCTAGATGGCTCTTATACC